CTTGTTTGTACTCAAAAATCCTGATATGTATCAGGTGAATAATGGCATACACAAATTAAGTACTAGGTGGCATAATAAACTACATGTTTCCTTTGTGAGATTATCTTCCATTCAAAAGAGTGTGCATTTTTCATCCATTAGAATATTTAATAACTTGCCATACAATATATATTCCTTGAAAGACAATATTAATACTTTTAAACAAAGGCTAAAAGATTATCTTATTTTAAATGCATTTTATTTGGTAGATGAATACATGGCATACAGGCAAGCATAATACATTATTGTTGTCTTTCCAAGATTATGTATTATCTAGATTTGTTATATGACTGCTCTTTATTTTATTATTGTGTTTTTATTTTATAATTCTTGAATATTTTAATTGTTGAGACTAGATTGCATTTTGCAATGTCATTTTGCTGACGAATTCAATATCCAGTCCGGTTCCCGGACAATGGATCTGTGAAATTATGTATCTTTGTATGTATGTATGTATATTCAAATGGGCTACATTCCTGTTAACTCACGAGATTATGGAACTCACAGGTGTTGAGACAGTTCAGCTGATAAATTGAGATTAGCTTTATGACACGAAAGTATGTAGAAGGAGTGAAAAAGGTTAACTATGTAAGAGCACAAACAAAAATTAGTAAATAATATACTGTGTGTGTGTGTGTGTGTGTGTGTGTGTGCGTGTGATCGTATGTGTGTATGTGAGATTAATTAAGCCCAGGAATTACTTCACATTTACATTATGAAACAACAACAACAGTATGGTAGTGAAGGTAATCAAAATTCTCCAGAAATAGTGAATGAAGCAGTTTGGGACTGAAAATGTCTGGTGATGGACAACTGCCTCACTGTTTTCTCCAGCTACTTTATGATATAGTTAGCCAGCTGAAAATAAGTAAGCTTCAACTGTTTATGTGCTGTGAAGTCATGCCTAACTCGTGCAGTTAGGCATGGGCTAGCGGCCTCCATAGTCTAGAGGTAACGTTCCCACCTCATGACTCGTAGTACGCGGGTTCAAATACCCGGCGGAGGTCGTCGAATTTTTAAGGGCGGAAAAATTCAGGGAACAAGTCCTCCGGGAGGGACTTTAAGCCGTGGGTCCCGTGTCGTAGCTTTACGGCACGTAAAAGAACATCATATCTCCAAAGGAGGTCACTGAGCCAAATTAACGGACGTTTCCTGCCCAACAGCAGTCTCTAATACCTCTGGTAGATGGGGGAAGCATTATAGATACCTCTCAGCTAGTAGAGCCGGTCTCGCTGGCTGGGCGGGACTTATGGTAAGCACCAGTACTGGTAGGATGTAGAGACTGGTAGAAATCATAGAGGGAAGCACAATGGACCACTACAGGTCTAAGTGCATGGGGAAACTCACCCTCTCCAATAACTAACTAACTAACTAACTAACTAGGCATGGGCTTCTCATTGCGAAGGCACAGGTTCAGTTCCATAGTAGTTTATGTTGAATTTATGGTGAACAGAATGACACTGGGACAGGTTTCCTCTGAGCACTTCATTTTTTCCCTGACAATTATTATTACATGCTCACCTGTCATCAGGGACTGTTACTGTAGGCTCACTTTTGGCAACTAACAAATGTGTGTACTATACCAGGAAGCTGAAGTTGTATGAAGAACAAGAGCTGACAATGCAAGTGTTCTGTGAGACAGATAACATGGGTCTTACCACCACATCACCACAGCCACCTATGGAAAGGTCAGAGAGTGCAGACTTCTCTCAGGTAATGCATTTTATAAATAAATTTATACATTATTACTGATATCATGAAATTGAAAAGTATATAGATGGAATGATCTTAACTTTTATCATTTGTGTGTCACCTTTTATACAAGTTTAAAGTTTAATGTCATAATATTCATACCAAGTTCTGTAAAAATGGATTTAATTAAAAGTTGTGAGAGGGATACACTCATGGATATGATGATATCATAAATATGTCTTCTCTTATAAACAAATAAAACAACTAAAAATACCATTAATTGCGTACTATAGGTCACATTGAGATTTTAGATGGAAAATTTTATGAAGGAAACCTGATTACACCTCAATGCATGCAAATTGTTGTCAGTTTCTAGGAAAACAATGTCTTATACTTTGTAAAACACAACATATTCCAGTGCTACAAAATGCAAATAGCATCATAATCTGCAGCACTAGAATATAACTGCACTTATATAAATATGGTGGTATAAAATTGAACAACTTTACAAAGGAGAAGCACTTAACAATGGCAAGGGTATACAAATATACAATATAATAGCAGATGTTACTCTGTTCATGTGACATATTCCAGGTGGACAATACATATGCTACAATCCAACATCCTGCACGTCGCGGGTCTCTCAGTGCAGTAATATCAATGGGAGGAGAGGACATGGGAGATTATGCAACGTTATCAGGAGGCATGGTTGTACACAATGATGGAAGTGCCCACAGTTCACTTCGAGGCACTCCCAGAGATGTAAGGACTTTTAAATTTGGAATTCTCTGTAACATATATGGACTAACAATTCATAGTTATTAAAATTTCACATATAAATCTAGGCATCTTTTTGAATCATCTGTCTTTGCATTTCACTTTTTTTTTTCCATCTATAGGCAGTGTTGGTTAATATCTTGTCATTTTCTCATTGTTGTCACTAAATGTTTCGGCCTAACCAGCCATCATCAGGTGTACAGGTTGTTGTGATGAAGGAATCTGCTGCTCACTGTAATGTTGTTCTGCTTTTCTTATGTAGTTGCCTCAGACTCCAGGTTATGTGGGTTAACCAGCTGTTTTATTTGAGTGTCCTTGAACAACCACTATGCAGTTTGCCCAGTAACTGTATCATACATATAGACTCAAATTTGTAAACCCTGGCCACTCTAGCAAATAACAGTATAATAACATGATAATGGCCAATTGACCATTGCACATTGCATATAAAGGAACTGTATATAACTGATACAACTGTGTTCGCTAGTTGTGTGTACCGAAATTCTCACATTTATGTTACTGCCTTGTTCTCCTCCTCCTCCTCCTTTGATGTTTCTGCTTTTATGTGACTTGCCTAGCAACAGTGCATTCATCTGTCTTTCTAAAGCTTCTCCTCCTTAATTTCCTGCCCCCCCCCCATTCTTCATCCTGTGTGACACTTTCCTGACCTGCCGATACCTTCTTAATCTTGGTCTTCTGGGCACTTTTCTTTTCAATTTATGCCAAAATCTTCATTGGCCATATGTTATATCACAATAAACAACACATAGAATTTAATTGTGTAAACACAGCAGTGACAATTTTATATCACTGATGGCCCAATAGTGACAAAGTGGCAGAAATGCAGCTTAATATTGTAACTACAGTCAACTCCTGGTTATTCAGGGTCCAAGCATACAGATTTTGAAGAAAATTTTGCCATTTTTATAGAGTTACTCAAAAACAAAATTGTGATACTCATATGTTCACCCACCACATTGTAGTTCTCCCAGGCTTCACAAGGAGTGCTACCCATTATCCCCCTCATGCAAGTGCCATTACAGTATAGGCCAGTTGAATTTGTGATCATGTTGCAGTAATGTGTCTGAAATCTTTCACCCAGGAAACTTCCTGTTGTGTCTTACCATTGAAATGCTAATAGAAAATGACACCTGTTCCATATTCTTGGATCATATTTGTTACCACTACCACTAGATATTTTGAATAATGGAAAACTGCTCATGTGCACACACATCAACCTTTGTTCTTTCTCGTCCCAAGCTCATTAATCACATGCAAACCCTCTAGTGGTTCACTTCTGAGATATAAGACCTCCTATGGAAGAATTAAAGCAAAAATATGCTGTTTTGAATTTGTACTGGGTTTCTACACTTCCCATTCAATGAGCAGATTCATGTAAATGGTGGACCCCATTAGCCAGACATGCTGAATAGCCCGGAGTTTGCCATACTTGTATAAAATCACAAACACACATAATGACTCTGATATTGCTTTATTTATTTATAACTGAGAATATTCTTTTTTTGCACTGACAGATGTATGAAGCATCATTAGGCTTCCAAGGATCAACATTCCAAGTTCCAGATAAACCACTGTGTGGAAGTAATAATATGGCAAGTTGCAGTAGTGACCCATTCAGACCGCAGACTGCCCTCACCATTAACAAGGAAGGGCAGCCTGAATTTGTGGCTGAGCTCATCTAACCAAATATACATGTGAAAGGATGCATTCTGGTCAGAGGATTGCCATTTTTATTGATGTAACTCATATCAATACTGTATTTCTGAAAGCACAGTCAATATTGTGATACTGAAACCTAAACCCTTATATTGGATATATCACTGAAATATTAAAAAAAAAATCAAGGTGACAATACTATAGAAAGAGATTTCTAGAAGGACTACTAGTGTGTGTTCAAGTTTTATTATATGACAATGTCTGGGTATATTAAAATAGGAATTTGCAAATCAAGTTTTCAGGAACTTTTGCATAAGACTGTTATGATGAATATTGTGGATGCAAACCTGGTATTTCTGTAATTATGAGCTTCAGTAATGAGACAGGGAAGTGCATTTCAACTTATGCTACTGTGTTTAGGTGTGGTGAGGTTCTGTTCTCACCAAAATGTCTCTCACTTTTCCCATTCCAAAGCTAACCATTTATGACCAATTAGATTTTTACCTCACCTTGAACCATTACCCCAATTCGGATAGCATAGCTTTTCCTAAAATAACTTAGTACACACTGGTAGAAGTTATACATATTTTTAACATAGTTTATTAATGTTGAAAATTTATACTGAAAGGTAAAATGCACTTTGGTATCTGTAGGAAAATAATTCTGGCACAAAGAATGGCATGATGGAAATGCAAAGTTTATAAAGTTTCTCTGCTTTATGTGAGTGTCATGCACAGGATTATTTACAGTGTTTTATACATAACTGTGAAGAAAACGGTAGCGTCCCATATTTTTGCTTCTTTTTACAACAGTGAAGAGTGATTTTGCAGTCATATAGAACTGATATGGGTAAACATAATCAGAGCATAATTTCAATTTTCAGGTTGTTGATAAGACTGGACTAGTGATTCAAATATAAAGAGTAAGTGTGGGTGATTGGTGCAAAATATATTACCTAAGTCTTCAAACTCGACACACATCTGTAATTAAGCCCTGATTATGAATTGCAGATAACTGAAACTATTTTTATTTTGTAATATGCAAACAAGTGGCTCAATAATTTACTCACATGATTGTACATATGTGCTGAGTGTTATGGTTAACATTTCTTTATTGTAATTAAAATTTGTACAAATGTGCCAGAGTTTTGTTTCAGATGTAACTGAATGTACCATATTTATATTAAACAGAATTTTGTTTACATTCAGCATTCAAGCTCATTAATATGGTGTCTACCTATAAGCACTTTGGCTGCAGTTTGGAATATTTGGTTAAATGTTTATAGTATTGGAGACCAGCCAGGATAGCGTAGTCGGTATTGTGACTGGCTATGGGCTGGATGGCTGAGAAATTGGAGTTCGAGTCTGGGTAGAGTCATCAGCAGAGTGCTGTCCCGGCACAACATCAAAGCAGTGGGTCTGTCTCCATACAAATTATCCAATTTCCTCCGGCCGGTTAAAGACAGCCTGGGCCTAAGGACACCGGGTGTATACAGTATCCCATGCGAGTGCGGGAAGGTCTATATTGGGCAGACAGGCCGCTCCGTGGACACGAGGTTGAAGGAGCATCAGCGGCACATCCGTCTCGAACATCCGGACAAGTCGGCCGTAGCTGAACACAGCATCGAACTGGGACACCGCATTCAGCTTCAGAATACCTCCATCCTCGCCACCAAGACGCGCTATATGGATCGCATCATTAGGGAAGCCATTGAGATCGAACTGCATCCAGGGAATATGAACAGAGAGGATGGGTTTCGTCTCAGCAAGTCTTGGAAACCTCTTATCTGTTCTCTTAAAAACCCCCCACCGGGATATGACGCCAGATCCAGAAGGCCACAAGGCCATGACCAACCAACATAACACCCCCCCCCTCAGCTTACGGTTAAAGCGAAGCCTTGTAACCTTGCTATTCTCTCCCCTACACAAAATCACGCTTGTCCCAGCTCCCTTCCCCCACCCCTCCCACACCACTGCTTTCACTTGTATACTTGCCCTTCCCCCCTTCCCTCTCTGCTCTCTAGGAATATTTCCACAGTCTGCTTTACCGTTTCTCACGGTGTTGTCGCTTGCAGATTTCTTATACTTTTTCTTCTACCCTGAAGATGGGGGCGATACGTTCCTCCGAAACATCGGTTAACACCACATATACACGGTGCCAAATCCCAGAAGACTGCTTTCTTCATAGTCACCGCCGTGAAAGCCTCAAATCTTACAAGAATGTTCAACTCTCCATGTCATCCAGACTGGCTCTGGGGCCCACCCAGCCTTCTATATAATGGGTACTGGGGACCCTTTCCCAGGGGGTAAAGCAGCCTCCAACTAGTGCCAAGGTCAAGAAAATGTGGATCTATACATCCACTCACTCATATGCCTTTATGGCATAGTGCTTAAATGGTTAAGCACAGGGACAACTAAAGTCATCTTAGATGAACACACTGGGCTTTGTATTATTACTGTCATGAGAGAGAGAGAGAGGGGGAGAGAGAAGGAAGGAAGGGGGGCAGAGGGGGAGGGAGTGAGAGAGAGAGAGAGAGAGTGTGTGTGTGTGTGTATGTGTATATATATGTGTGTGTGTGTGTGTGTGTGTGTGTGTGTGTATACATACAAGTACTGAAACTGAGAAATCAGCCCTATGCTCCAAAGTGGGAGCGAAGAGGAAGAAAAAAATATGAGGCAGGATCCCAGATTTTAACTAGCAGGTAATGTTATCAGGATGAAAGAAAGGTAATATTTGGCCAGCTAGATAGCATCATTACAATACTGCACCACCCAGCCAATACAGGAAAAGAAAAGTTGTAATATCTTTTAATTAAACTAAAACTTCACATCTTATCACTGATGTCCATTTATTTATTGGGTGACTATAAACTTCGCTGGTTAAACACACTTTAATCCCGTGAAATTTCATGCCTGTGACATTAACTGATGTCCCCTAAATATACTGAGGTTTTCCAACAATCAAAGTGTGCCAGTGCAATAAAACATAATCCCTTCAACACTGCAACCACAGATTAAAAGCATGGTCAAGTTAAGATATCATACTTGTAGATAATGAAAAGAGTTTGTGTCAACATAGGTCCAGAAATGCACAGTTTCCAAGTTTTTAAAGCCTGTCTATGACCTAAGCTCTTCACATTACCTTACAGTAAATGTTACAAATGTCCACCTACTGCTTGAAAGAGGCCTCTGCTCGATGTATCATTGCCACCCAAAGATGATCCAAAATTCCTGGCATATTGTCTGAAAACCCACTACAATTTGATTTTTGGGAGGTTCCAGATCATCTACTGGAGTGGAATAAACCAACGATTTTAAATGGCCCCAGAAGTAGTAATCCAGTGGATTTAAATCAGGTGAGGAATAAGGCCAGGCAATTGGTCCACCTATATCTATCCATCGACCAGGAAACTTTCAAGTTGGGTACCTGCCGGCAACGAGACAGAAATGTGCAGGAGTACCATCATGCAGGAAGTACAGTTCTCAATGAATGATCAGTGGCACACTGGCCAAGAAATGAGGCATGTTGTATCACAAGATAGCTTTGTAATCATGCCCTGTAATCCTCTTTGGAATTATGTGGGGTGCAAATAAATTATCACCACAAATACTGGGCCAGATGTTGATGGAGAACTGCTATTGGTGATGTGATGGAAGAATTGCATGAGGATTTTCATATGCCCACAGATGCTGATTGTGAAAGTTATCAGTTCCACCTGTGAACTGTGCTCCATGCATAAATATCACCAAGGCAGGGAAGTTAGGATTTCTACCACACTGCTGTAAGAACCACTCACACAGAGTAATTTTGTAGTGACAAGGCCTGTACATGCTGCAGATGGTAGGGATACAGCTGTTGTTTTCACAACGCTCTCAAGACAGATGAATGAGTGATGCCTACTTGCACTGATGCCCTTCATGTGCTATTTCCAGGAGCTTCAGTCACAAGAACCAGACTACAGGAGTCACAGATCTTGCTCACCCCATTGGCAACATGAGGTGCAAAATTCCCATGTTCACAAAGTCGGCAATGGATACTTAGAAAGGTTTTCCTCTCTGGACAGCCTCGTCCTGGATACCTTTCTTGGTACAAATGAGTCACCACAGCATTACAATCTGCCAAACAAAACATGAAGTGCCCCTATGGGCCTCAGGACCTGTTACAGGGATAGCTTTACTTTTTTTATAAGGCCCTGGCTGCAGCTGCTGAAAATATTCAGGTTTGGGTTGTTCTGAATGCACAGAATAAACAGTAGGATAAGCGTTTGTCGATGTGATAACATTTCCTCACCGTATCCAGCTGCAGATTATAACACGCGGTAGACAGGTCAGGACCCCATATGACCACTGAGGGGTCTGAGGAAAGTGATCTGTTGGATGACCAGAATGTGACAGTTCAGCCAGGTACTGGGAGACACCAAGAAGAGAGGCAAGAACTGGCAAAATACTGAAAGGAAGAACTGTGGGAAGCAAAATGAGACAGGAAACTTTTCATCAATCAACCTGCATAGAATGGAAACAATATCAGAAAAAATTTCTTATAAATGTCATTGTAATCACGATCATTGTTGTCAACAACAACAAGATGAAGCAGAAGCATCTGTGTCTTACATCACATCATCCACAATTAATGCTCCTCTATACCTATCACACATGAAATCATACATTCTTTATTTTATTTTCCCATAAATCAAAATACATTGATACAGGACTTGTCATATCATAATACTATCTACATTCTCTGAGCAATGATATCCATAGGTGTATAGCCTAGTTCAAATGAAGAGTACAGCATAGTATAACACTAAAAAATAAACTCGTAGTATTAAAAATTTGTTAAAATTTCCTGATAACTTTCCTTTTGATGATATATAACAAATAATCAGATCACAAATTAAAATAATCTCTTGTAAAATATACATGCAATATTATATTTATATTTATTTATTATATTATATTTGTTGTTTAAGATAAAAGGTAAAGTTGTCCCTGTGCTTAATAAAATAAGCACTATGCCATGAAGGCATATGGGGGAGTGGATGTATAGATCAACATTTTTTTGACCTCAGCATTAGCTTGAGGTGAGTGGTCAGCTTCATGCCCCAGCAGCTTTCCCCCTGGGGAAAAAGCCCCCAGTGCCCATTGGATAGGTTGGGTGGACCACAGAGCTGGTCCGGACAACTTGGAGAACAGGAAATTCTTGACCCTACTGGGACTCGGAACTCTGACCCCTCAGTCATCTAGCCCATAGCCAGTCACTATACTGACTATGCTATTCCAGCTCAAGTTGTATAAGATAACTACTGTAATTGTAAAATTGCAAGGGTTGTTCAAATGAAACATATTCAGTGATCATTCTGGGCAAAGGAGTAGAGGTAGTTAAAAATATTACCACTTAAGCCAACTTGCTCAGTTCAACATTTTTATTCCAAGAATACTTCTTCACAGAGTCCACAAAAATTAATGTTACGCTCACAGACATACGATAAATTTAAAATGGCCATATTTGCTAGCAATACCATGAATGGATTCCACTTGAATAACCCTCACATTAACAAACCCAGAACTAATGCATTACAAAATCATCAAAACCATCATTCAACAGCTTGTATATATTCACTTCTTATCATGAATAATTTAACTGTAAAACCTCCAATATAAAACTTACCTTATTCCAAACAGTGGCACTGGCACTGTATTTTGCCAAGCCAAGCCAAGGGTATCTGGGGAGGGGGATACCAAAATTGAAAAAAGGAAGTATATCAGATACTAATACCAAAAATTAAAATATTTTTCTATCCTGGCTATAGATGATGATCCACAGAAATATTCTTAAACAGCTTAAATGTAACATTGTGTGAAAATGTTCTGGTTCCCCCCCCCCCAAATAAATTGTTGCAGCCACAGCTCATGGTATAACCCACTGATCACAATACAGTCGATGTGTCTTTTATCATTCTGTATCACTCTATAATGATACTGTCGATCATACATCACCTGATAAAACGTGAACTTCACGCTAATAAAAGATAATGATTACAGCTCATTTCAGAAAAAAAAATCCCACTATAATCACATGTCATATTTCAATAAATTTTAAAGGGGATATATGGGACGGGGGGCGCCTATGTGTAACAAACTCAACAGATGATTCAGTTCACTTAACTCTCTTATTAATGCACAAGGTATTTTCCACCACTGAATTTGAAACACAGTGCTATAACATAAAACTGCAAGTCTGAATTTTGAATGTGGTGGTTTTACTGTAATTGCTAGCACTTAACATAAAGTTACAAAATATAGAAGCTTTAATATATATTGTACAAAAGCTGCTTATATCACATGATTATACAGTTATAAAATATGAGGTAAAAAAGAAGTAAGTAAAGCTATCCCTATAATATGTGGTGAAGGCCCATAAGGATATGAGACGTTGAGGGTCCCACATTATCTAGACAATCAGCTCAAAGAGGGCAGTAAGGTTGTCAGCCTCACGCGTAGGCTGCGCTTTAATTAATTCCTGGTACTTATTTCTCTTACAGGCTGAGTCGACCCCAGGGCCATAGTGTGGCTGGAAAGATTAGGTCAATTGAAAAAAATCCAGTGACCTCATCGGGACTTGGAACCAGTGACCTTCTGTCTTGTAGCATAGTGCATCAATGAACTATGTTACTGCGTGCCCCATAAAAGATGAGGTAGGAAATCTAAATCACTGGGGCAAAATCTGTGTGAATTTTCACTTGGTTGCGTTAATATTTTCTAGTGGTTTATTTCACAATGCTGTCAGTATCTAGCATAGGTTGTATTTAATGGTAGGATGACTAATGAAGTGAAATAGATTCAGAAGAAAATGGTTGTCACCTAACTGATGAACTATCCTGATATTTGCCTATGCCTGGGTTATATACATGTTGGCTTAAGGTATATGTTATCCATATTATGTTACAATGTATCAACTGGAAAGTACATACGAATTAGAGAGCTTGTATGAGATTTGAAAATTTCATAGGAGGGATTATGAAGAATAGAAATCTTCTGGGATGTCATGCCATGTAGTCTGGTAGAAATTTATCAATGTTTTGGAGGAACTTTGGTGAACTTCTACTATATTATGTGGCATTATGTTGCAGAAGATAGAACTCTTACGTAGTCCCTGCCACAAGAATCTCAAATTGTATTTATGTGAACCTAGTATTAGGCATTTTTCTCCTACTGTATTATTTCTGGCAAACCAAGTATAAACTCATAAGTAAGTTTGGCTGCATCCTGTACTGATGCTGTTTCAGTGTTCTGAAGTACTATGCAGATGTCATATTCAGGGTGAAGAGGCATAAAGAGCATGCGGCATGATGTTCTCAAAGTGGAAGTCTGGGGACATGGAACATGATGCATTTGCCAGTCACAATCTGATGTGAATCATTTCAGTTATCCCACGAGTAGCCTTGCATCTTGAATAAGCGACAGAGGTTTCTGGACTGGGACCTGATGACAATCATTAGAATTCAACTGATAAGTTCCAAAATGATAATACTTGAGTCTCAAACAGGTCATTAAGTTTTAAAAGCATCAATTTGTAACAGTATTTCAGCATCCTGCTGAACAGGTTCACAATTAATTGACAAGGACAGTTCTAAAGGTGCAATTTCTTGTCCTCTTTGTAGACTGGTGGTGTGCTACATTGTCATGTTCTTTCTTCTGCAGTATGTTTCAGCCTCATGAGGTTGATTATTTACATAGTAACCATTCACCATCTATGAAAACCATGCAATATTACATGATACAGAACATCAACAACTTCATACCCAGCACAAATACTCAATGCCATAACAAAACTCCATGTCAAGCCAACACTACACTTTAGAGTGCTAGCAATATAAAAAGTCAGTCTTAATTAATTTTAACAGAATTCACCAATCATTAGATCTTAACCAAATTTTAATGTTTTAAACAATGAACTAAAAGCAGTACAGTGCAGCAACTACATAAATAATCTACCTGATGATGACCTTATAAGGTCGGAACATGTCATAGAGGACATAATAATACTACATGACAATGTAGAACACAACCAGTCTATGAACATCGCAAGAAGTTGCACCTCAGACAACCCCCTGCAAATTAAATCATTAATTTGCAATATTTAGTAGCTTTACTAATACATCAGAAATCTAGGCATGGATAATGAAAGATAAAAGGAAGACTGGGATCAGTAAAAATTAGTTTTCTGAGATCCATGGCATGAGTCTTGCTTTGGGACCAAAACAGATATGCTGATATCATGAAAGAATTATGGATGTGCATTGACTCAAAAACTCAAAAGATTATATAACTAACTGGTTAAATAATTTAGACAGAATAGCATACAGCATTCAAAATAAGACTTTTCAATATATTCTACACAAAGAGAAATGTAGTAAGATTTAGAATGTGACAGAGAGATCAAAAGAAATTACAATGGGAACAGTATGGACCAAAGGTTCACCCAGAATTTGTTTTTGTCTTCTGAGTGTAGTACTATGTAGACTGTACAAGATTCAGAACAATATTGCATTTAGGCATGGCAATATTATTCTGTAACATCATAAACAGTTTACATCTTAGCACAAAAATGAAAAAAATTCAAATTTGATATTCAGAAACATGAATATCTACTGTCTCTAGTAGGTGGATATGTGATAACAACACCTTAATTACATTATAAAAAGTATACATAAAATACAACTGCTCAAAACTGATACCTAATTATTAATAACAGCTACAATGTAAAAGACTTGACATTATTGCACATATAAATCCCAGTCCTTATCACTTTCATTATCATCATCACTGTCTTCCTCCTCACTTTCAGCCTTACATCTATCGTGTGCAGTTTTTTGTTTTCCTTTTCGGCTTCTACTTTTCCCAGAAAGTTTTGTGCTCTGTTTTCTACTACTGATATTTCTGGATTCTGAAGGTCCTGCTTCATCACTAAAGGAGTATCGCTTCTTCAATCTCTCTCTGATCAGGAGGCCCTTGATAAGGAGTCGCCAATTGCCATACACTCGCTTTTCTAACTTCTCCCGTTGACGTTTCTCAGCTTCATCTTGTTCCTAATAACACCAATCATTCATTACAACATAATACAGTGATATGAGCCAACATCACCTTCACACTGCATTCCAGTTTTCACACGTGAAACTCAAGTCAAGGCATGTCACATCTTTCAGCGCAGAGAAAATTTCAATACCTAATGCAGGAGGATAAAGTGGGTCGTATGGCCTTTATACCGGGAGCGGAGGAAATGTCATTATAGTAATTAGGGTACATTATCAGTAGTTATTCTTTGACATTCTCCTGACCTTATTCAGACAATGTAACCCCACATTTTACCCTATTCAAAGAAATATAATCATTTTATATTATTCAATCTTAACACAAACAAGGCCAATATCTAAATGAAATACTGCATTCACATGCTATATGATATTTCAGAGCCTCAAAAAATTACTTTCCAGATGTTATTAAAAGACAGAAAAACAACATAAATACTGTAACGTGTTGAGTTACTGAAGACGCCGTTCAGATTGTTAATTGGTTTATTCAACAACCTACAAGTATTGGCTACAATTATTTATAACACAGTTGCGGGGTTTCACACTTTATAACCCTATTCGCAATAATCTGTTCACACTGTTCTCAGTAGTCTACATGTTTTTACAGTATGCGAGCTCTACAAGTCTCTCTGTATTACACACTCCCAATTACACAATTACACACGCGTCCGGTTCTTCTTTCTGCGATGGCTGCTATATTCCAACTCAACTCGTAGGCTGCTGCCTTGAGAACTCGTTCAGTGCTGACTGGAGAACTGTCTTCAGCGGCTGATACACTTTAACTGACAACAACTGAACTCGATGACGGCCACATTTCAACTCGCCTTGCAGGCAGTGTGGTTCACTTATATAGTCGCAGCCCTTGCATGTTACACAATGGATACCACTGTTGCCTGATGTTGTGTCGACGGCGGCGTTGCGTGCCATGTCACACTGCCGAGGGGGGAGACGGAGTGCTGACTCACCCACCATGTCACTGCTGGGTAGGGAGGGGTTGTTCTCCATTGCGCAACATGTCACAATACTTTTAAGCATGAAGCAGCATCTTCAAGTACTCGGGCAAGGAGAAGTCTAAGCGTTCACAGTTATAAATAATCAATGGTACTGAACTGACTTTCAACCCATTATCCAACCAGCTATGACTATCACAGTAACATACTGTCTTATGTTAGTGAATCTCTGATGAGAGGATGGTTTTGTCATTTGCAATGGTTGCAGGCACTTGCAGTGCAGTCATTATCAGGTCCAAGTCCCACAGGACTCATGATCATATTTTACTGTTTCAGATTTGAGATTCCCCCAACTCGGAGGGCCAAATCCCAGTATTTATACCCCCAGGAACAGGGTGGCCCTGTTATACCTCCTGGCAATGGGTTCCTTTTTCACCACCTCCTATGACTCGCAGGACTATGGTGGAGGCATCTGACCCCACCTCCACACTGGCTCGAACTCACTGCATTTGTTCACTTGGAGGCTCTAGTTATATAGCCTCAGGACAGACCACATATAGAAACACCATTTCCAACAATTCCTCTGTTGTTGTGTGTGTATCCATTACCGCAATACATGTTTATTGAGCAGTTACCTAACAGTAGGCAATTTCTTCTGGCTCCATTATTCCAGCCTTTCAGCTGTCATATCACAATATCAATGAACACACCAAATTATGTGAAATCTTAGCAGTTCAGTAAACTTATGAACAAATTAATTAACTGATCAATATATCATAGCTCCATCTTACAGGATTTAAGGAAACTTGTTTACACACTAAACAGACATGTGTGGTTAAGGTTTGAATATAAGAAATACTGAGGTTTTGTCCACAAAAGAAATATCTGGAAATTTTTGAACTTATACATGTTGAAGGCTACTAGTATAGTGATACCAGTTGCTTACAAATAAGCAAATACACAATAGCCATTACTAAGTAACAGCTTTGCAAACAAGCATGTTTCTGCAGCACCAACTGGGTACAATAATGGGAAGTGGTGTTTTCTATGCGGTTCATGCTAAGATGTTATAAGCAGGACAAGTCTAGAGTCAGTCAGACAAAAGTTCCTGTGGCTGAAGGGGGACATCTGCCATTGGAAGCCATTACCAGAAGACTTAAGTGTGCTCTAGTGAACTGAATTAGTGAAATGGTTATGATTACTTGTAGTCACGGATCTGTAAGAGTTCAATAAATCCAATTACCAATCACATGACAATACAAATAAAATGTTCATAATGGGAAATGTCTGTCTTATTAGGACTATCATTTCTAACAGATATAATAAAGAATTTATAAGGCTTGCAACATTTAATACCAATCCGTTTATCCAGAGCAGGGATGAACAACGAGATGGATAAGAGGACGCTAATGGATCTCCAAGTTTTACCTTAAACACAGCTTAAAAGTTGATAAATCACCTGAATATGTAACGTTAGTAATCTGAGTACTAGAAAAATTTGTTGACAGTATATGTTTTGTCCTGTATTTACTAACAGTTGAAGGATATATCACAATTTCTGAAGACAGCAACATTCTTCTTACCTGGGTCCAAGCATCAAGTAATGTATCCTTGTACTCCTCACAGACAACAAAACCATCAAGAACTGGGTGACTTCCACCACAATGGAAATCGAATCCAATCACAGCAGGTGCACAGTCAATTCCTAGTTTGCGTGCCACACGGTTCAAACCAGGAACTGTAAGAAAGTAAAAACATTGTCATGAATGTAACTTGTCTCTTATGATATGTCCCTTCTGTGTACTCATTTTGAAAACTGTACACCTTATGGGAAAATTGTAATGAATACAAAATTTGTGTTTCACGTATGTCTGCAGCTTCTGTTCAAAACATTTTTTGCTAAGATATTTAATGAGTTACTCTCGAGATTCACAGAAAGCCATTTAGATCTTCAAGCAGTGTTCATTATTTTTAGACAGTTTTAACCAAAAATAGAATATGCTGATAAATTTTAGTGATGAAGAAAGCAGTCTTCTGGGATTTGGCACCGTGTATATGTGGTGTTAACTGCTTTCTTCATAGTCACTGCCGTGAAAGCCTCAAGTCTTACATACAAATTTTAGTGATATTCTCCAACATCAAGTCATCGAAACCTGTTCAGTGGCCTTCAAGTTCGTAAGTCCTTTCATATCATGTGGCTTAAAGTATACAATAAAATTATTTATTTATTCAAAAAGCCTTTGTTACAAGCAATGAAAAATGCAGATCATTTCCATTTATATTTAGACATGTTTCAGTCTTCAAGAGATTACCTGCAGTCACTTCTCAGTCATGAGAAGCTATTTTTGTACTTATTTGCCATTATTAGCTTGGTTTTTTGAGTTGTTACATGTGTCTTTACCAACAAATATGGTAAAGGTAGTAGGTCAATTTTTTAAGACTTTTCAATACATATGTACGAAAAATCATAGTATTAGTGATATACCATATGTACATCATCTCAAAGGTCACATCATGCTCTTGATAATTCATCAGTATTTCTTTCTTACAGCTGTGGTTCCAAACTGTGATGTACAAATGTATGTAAAATGTTTTGGGGGAATTGCTGACAGATTGGTGAAAGAAAAAATAAAAACATCAGTTTTTTTTTTGCTAGTGGGGTAGGACTAAGTCCCTTGTATTGCGGCCACTTCTGGCCTATTGTACCAGCCCCAGATAGGTGAGGGTGATTGTGGAGCAATTGGTGGAATGAAGATTGGCAGGGGAAACCGAAGTACTCGGAGAAAACCTGCACCAGCGCCACTTTATCCACTACAAATCCCACTTAACCAGACACGGGATTGAACCTGGGCCGCTGCGATGGGAAGCCAGCGACTAACTGCTTGAGCTATGGTGCAGCCTTTTTTTCCTTACATAATGAAAATAAATATTAGTAATCGCATTAATGAATTAATGAAATAATATTTCAGATAATATAACAACTGGATAATGTGAATATCACAATATTTTGTGCATCAACTTTATTTCAAAGTAAATTCACAAACACAATATTGTGGGAAGCTATACTATTATTTGGTTTCTTTTGGGCATATTTCCTTGTCTGTTCCACCTGCATAACTGAGATTCACAGTTGCATTAGCTTCGCTTCCTGTTAGATGAAAAATGATTTGTAAAATAACTGTGATGGACAAGGTCAAATGTGAAAAAAAAAATTCAGAAGAAAATATAATTTCAAATGGGTCTTTAAAATTTTTTAAGGAGTGTTAAAAAGTTCCAGAAGGAAAGAGACCACTGGGAAGACCAAAGCATAGGTGGGTGAACAATTTTAAATTGGATCTTAGAGACGTAGGATGGGATGGTATGGATTTGATTGATCTGGCTCAGGATAGGGACCAGTGCAGGGCTCTTCTGAACATGGTAATGAACTTTCGGGTTCCATAAAATGCTGGGAAATTCTTGAGTAGCTGCACATTTTGCTTCTCCTCAAGAAGGGCTCAGCTCTGTAAATAAGTAATTGTTAAAAAGTTCAGGAACTACTATGTCACACAGATGACTCAAACCTGGCTAGACAAAATCATGAGCTTACCCTGAAGATGGACAGTGCCTCTGGGTAGCATACAGGGTTTATACAACTCCACATTTCCATATTCATTTCTAGGAACCTTCCCATCTACAGCAGGAGGGGGAACATAATCTTCCACCTGCCATGAGCCAAACACCTCTAGAGGCAGATCTTTGACGAACTGCCCCGTCATCTGAAAGTATAACCATCTGTTCAAAATTTTCAACATGAAGCGGGAAAGTACCCTTAGTTGTAAAGTAGCTGCTTATTATTCAGACATGCAGAACCAAGCAAAGGGATACAGTGTCACTTCAAACCTTAAATTTCATGTATGTCATATTTCATAACTGTTATCTTCTCATACATGAGCATCACTTTCAGTTTGTAACCTTTTAATTCTCATATAGACAGCTCACCAAGGGTCACCAACTGTTTATGAGTAACAGGCAACTATGACAAGCTTAGAATTTATAGTGCCCACAATATGAATATGTCAACCCATCCCCCACAAAGGGAACACAAAATGAAATAATCTACAGATATATTGGGTTTTTGGACTTTATCCATCGTCCTGGTTTTAAGATAACTAAGAAAAACACGACATTTTGGACCAGTGATTGAGGCTAGCTCTTTCTAAGGGACCCAACAGAATAGGTGTTTTCCCTCACCTGAGGACGGAAACAGATCCAGTTTCTGAAACATCATGTTTTTCTTAGTTATCTTAAAACCAGGATGATGGATAAAGTCCAAAAACCCAATATCTCTGTGTGTTATACACCATCGTCAGAATCCTATAGTAACTACTTGAAATAATCTAATTACAAATGACACATTTCAACCTTATCTGTTCACGTCTTCCAAAACAGTTATAATTAGTTATTTTTTAGAAACTGTCATTTAGAAATCATTATTTACACCAAAAACTCTGAATTAACTGATGTGAGAACACATACGAGATATTTTTTTTACTGCCTGTTTATTTACAATCTACTCTATAAAATACGAGTAAAGTAAATTTAGTAGTCGATGCAGTCAATGTAGGTGCTGCCAGCCAATGCCGGTTCACCTTAGGCTATATATGTAAGTCTTTGGGCCACTGTCTTTTGAGCCTTCTTGCAACGGTTGGTTCACTGGTGAGAGCAGCAATCAGTTCATTTGTATGATTCATATTCCTGTTTCTGTACATGTTGGCCTGGGAATTTATTACATCCCCGATAAATGGTATTTTTAGGTCGTCAACATATGAAACATCTTGAAATCCTTGGCACTAGACATCTAATTCATAGGGCAAAAATGACCATACGCTTTGCAATGAACAGCAAATAATTAAGAAATTATAATTAACGATGCCTGAAGCATGCAGTGGGCAATACCTTGTCATACTTGGGCCTAGCTTTCACAATCTTGTACGGTGTTTCTCCCAGTCGAACAACTTTGGCTTCTTTCAACCAAATCTCCCTTGAATGAAGAACATGAACACATTCCCTTGCATATATAGGTTTCCCCCTCACAAACCCAAGAGGTGGAGCATCTGGAGGGTATAAGGCCTCAAACTTTAGCAAGTCATCCTTCAGTACATACAGTGGATGATTTTTAAACCTGGCAAATAAAACAAAGGTTTGTTGATATCAATACAATGAATTACGAATCTGGTGAACTTTATTCAGATTTAACATATCAATACACTGTAAATTCTTTTTCTGTGGATTACTTCATGATGCCGTCAGTAGCTAGACCATATAGGCTCAAATGATAGGATATGATGGATGAAATGGAAAGGATTTGGAAGGAAGCTGTTGTGGTCTAAATTGAGGTATTATCCAGCCCTGGGCTCAAGGTAATGAGGAAAATCATTAAAATCTTTTATTGCTTTTGGCGTTTACCTACAGCCACTGAACAAATGCTGCTTTCATCTACATGTCTCACTGTTTACTGGCTAGTAGCAGGATGGTAAATAATTCAGTGATTTTCAAGGTTGAATGCAGGACCAATACTGGCTATTTCCTGTTCTTTGGATTATCCATTGTTTTAATTATCTGCATTCACTACCATGGATAACTGAGAAGTCACAACAGAAAGAGTATAAAGTGCAGAAACTGAGGGAAAAAACAAAATAACAGAGAAGAATTAGCATGTCATAAAGGAGGGTAAGGTCGTTACAGGACCAAAGAGATGTAACATAGAAAGTTAAACTAATATGTTAGGGACAGACAGATATGTAGTACTTGCATGTTGAGTTAGGCTACTAATTTTAAGCATTCGCTTCTGTGAAAAGAATTTAGCATAAAATAGATAAGAAATGAATAATTTATTTTATATCTGCAGTAAACAGACATCAGGAACACACAAGAATGCAAATTCACAAAGAACAAAACTGGAAAATATGTGTACATTGGAGTACACCTTTTCATTGTTGTTTTTAACAGTGCAAATGCATACTCTTTCAAAGTAGTTGGCATGGGGCGATCTAGCATTAGCCTGTTTAGCTCCTCATCTTCTTCCTTATCATGAGCAGTAGGAGCAGAAACGAAAGGACTCAGTGATTCTTTCCACCACTTCTCATCCACACGAAGTTTCCTCGTCAATGTCGAGAACTGGACGCAATACCGACATGTCACATCCTTCAACGTAAGGTCATTGTTGAAGGCTAGGACATATGTTACTGGTTGTGTAGCACGTGACTGTGGGCAAAGAAAGCAAAATATAACTTCAGATTTCTGACATGAAAAGCAAAATTACTGGGAGCTGTGTTACCCTAATACCTTTTGGAACTACTGACCATTTTTTATGAAGCTCATGTTACTGAAGGTCATCTATGGCATGTACATTTGACATGTAAAGGAACCAGTCTTGTACAGCAATAAAGGTTTGAAGATAATCGTTTTCTGGGATGTGAGAAGTTTCTGATGTTCCTTCCAAATGCTGGTAAACTTCTACTAGACTCTGTACTATCACACCCCAGGAGTGTGTCATTTTCATAGTCCTTGCCATGAGAACTTCAGATATCACACTGAAGATTTAAATCTAGTATTTAGTTGTACATACAAACAAAAAATAAAACAAACTACGTGGCTTTAGTCTGCAAGTGAACTATACTGACCGAGTGACCGCCGCTTGTTGGCGAACTTAGTGCCAACTTTAGCGGATAGAGGGTGTCACGTTGTCAGTGCAACGAATCCCCATGGCCGTTAATCTCGGTTGTCTAGACCAGAGCTGCTATTTCCTTGAAATACCTCCTCAATTACCCTCATGAGGCTGAGTGGACACTGTTCCGCACCCACTACTTCTCAGAAAATCTTGTAGCACCACAAATCGAACCCGGGACCTCTGGATCTGTAGCCAGAAACTCTGACCACTAGACCACAGAGGCAGTCAGCTTTACATATATCAAGTGATAATGTCCAGTATCATACACTGGGATACATAATGAGCAAAGTAAATGAGTTGGCTTACGTGCAACTCTGCAACGCAGTGCAGTTTGCCGCTCTGAACATCAACACTGATCCATTTCTCCTCCTCTTCAAGGAACACCTCACTCCAAACATCACAGCGATCCTTCTTCTTCTTCTCCTTCTTCTGGGTCCCTTTTCCAGCAGTGGATGTCCCAGAATCTGATACCAGCACTCCTCTATCCAGTACTTTTCTATGAGTCACCTTCTTTTGCATTACCATTTTTGACTTAACATCACTTTCACTGCTGGAGTCCCCTGACTTTGTCCTCTTCAAGTTGCTAGACTTATGATCCACTGAAGCCTCTGGCACAAAGTCACTGTCACTGTCTTCATCTTGTCTGAGGGAAGATGCAATTTGAGACAAATTTCTTTTCTTGTTTATATTAACCCCAACATTCTTGCTACCACTTCCTCTCTCCTTTGACAAGGTTTCCTCCTGACCTATTGTACTAACATCAGTAGCAGGTCTATGAGGATGCCTGCCACCAGTGATTCTGATTTTCAGGTTTTGCTGCTCTTTACATGCCACCCTCATGTATTGATTTGATGTATCACCTTCATCAGAAGACTCAGACTTGTCTCTGTACATGTTTAGTGTTACTTTACGTGCCCTAAGTGTTCTTTTCAGGTTCTGCATTTTTTCTTCTGATACATCAGCATCATTCCTACGTTTCTTTACATCTGGAGTTTTGGTCTTCAAATTTAAATTGCTTGATTTCTTATTCTTATGATTATGATTATCATCCCCTTGCTTCTCATCCTGTAACTTGATTGCAGTTTTTGATTTCTTGTCTTTCAAGAACTTATTTTCCTCTTTTGATGATTTTTTTGAAGTTGTTGCTTCATTGGTATCCCTCGTATCATTCTTCTCAACTTTCATATCAATACCCTCCTCTTTGTTTCTCTCTGTTCTGTTCATGCCAACCATGTCTTCAGCTGAAGGTTTTAATGGAAGTGGCTGTAGTGACATCAACAATCTTGCTTTTACACCTAGTGCTCTAAGTACGCAAATAAACATAAACACCAAATCACGTGCGGAAGGTGCAGTCCGTGATTGGAATGATTTCTGTAAAGATTCACAGTGTGGTAATAGAGATTCATTATCTATTCTGTCTGCAATGGTTATAGTTTTCCTAAACCATTCCACAATTTTCTCAAGATAGCTCAGGTTTGTGTGTTTTGCTGGGTAGCAATGTTGTGATGGAATTAAAGAGAGTGATTGGGCCATAAGAACTTCGGAATTGAGTACTGAATTGATATATTGACCATGAGCAATCCAACACAGGAGATGAACTTTGTGAATTAGGACTTGAAACTCACGTTTCATCCTGTTAAGTCGACGCCTCAAGTGGGCTTCCATATCAAATCCTTTCTTCTTACGTTTCCTGTACAAATCAGGCGCTTCTAGTGTCACTTCAATACCTTCTTTGGGTATAATATGTTCTGTAGGTTTCACATCTAATCCTTTAACTTCTTCCCAATCTGATAAATTGTTCTCTGAATCTGATGCTGAATTATGTGCCCAGTCTGTAACAGCTGTGCTTACTTTTGATATGGTTCCTAAACTTTCTCCCAAAGCCAGTAACTGAGATACATCCATTTCATTTATATCAGGTGCTAATGAAACCTTTACTCCCTCATCTGGTATGTTCAAATTTCCTGTTGATACTTCAGAAGTATTCCTCTGCTTTGATTTTATTCTGCGCTTATTACTGTTCATTGTTTTCTTTTTTCTACCAGTTTTGCCAGATGTTATACTCTCTTCACGGTTAACAGGAAAATAAACTGACTGACTTTCTGGAACACTTTCAAAGTCTGAATCATCAGAATCATTCAAACATGTAACACCAGTCAAGATATTATTCTCTATAGCAGTAAAATCTGATGTTAATTCTTTTTTTTCAGGAAACCTATCCAAATTCAAATATGACAAATCAGGGGTATGCATGAACTCATCAGAACAGCTGCCTGATGATTCAACTTTTGGTTGTATGTTATTGTGTATGGCATTCTCCTGTGTGTTTTCTGATGATTTAGAATCATTCTTTTCTGCCTCTGTCTCTAATTTTGGTTTCTTTCCTTTCAACGAATTTGAGCTTCTTTTTTCTCCATGTTTTACTTCACTTTTGATGGAAGACGAACACCTCTTCATTGATCTTCGCATCATTTTAATTTAAGAAATAAGTACCGCCCACAGGCAAATGCGAAATTTTTACCCAGGATGATCCGCTACAGCTTTGACACTAGTTAAGACTACAGGTTGAAACCATAAATTACGTAATACACGTGGTGTCTTCAGCACTGAAAAGAAAAAATTGCTTCACTATCCACTCAGTGTCAACTGTTCGTAGTAAACTGGGGAGTTACTACATAACATCATACGCATAAGCATGAACTACGTATCCTCTTCATACATAAGTAAAGTCAAATTACCCCCAATTAACCCCACTGCAGAGATAATATCAATATACGTTCCAATTCGCGCCTATGATCAACTGCATAAAGTAAGCCGCAAATCGTTCTGAATTTCAGACTAATTAGAACAAAAATATATTAAACGGACATTTTCACATACTGTCACTTCTATTCTATGTACAAAATTACAAGCTATAAAAGGCTATTTTATAACATAACTTGAATCATGAATTACATTCAATTAGTACGAAAATTTGCGACATTTGACATTCCTTCAGCAATCTCAAACCATGACCGACCATGACCAACATTATAGATATAAACTTACCTACGCACACCAATCCCTGTTGTCCCTACAGACACCGCTCCATATAGGTAGTTGTGCTTCCTGGGCATAGATGGCAGGAGAAACGGCATGTCATTTTCTGCCATCTACAAAATAAAATAACTAATTAGTTCCATGGAACAGAGTCATTGAGAAGCCGCATAATCAAGAACTTCGCAACATTTTATTGAACCCGAAGGTTCATTACCATGTTCACAGAGCCCTCTACTGGCCCCTATACTGAGCCAAATAAATCTAGGCCATGTCATCCCATATTATTTATTAAGGATCCGCTTTAATAATATCCTCCCACCTACGTCAAGGTCTTCCTAATATCCTTTTGGATATCCCACCAGAATCCTACATAAATTACTTTTCCCCACGATACGTGCTACACGCACTGACCATCTTAATCTCCTTGACTTCATCATTCTACACACGTGTATTTGACGAAGAGCAAAGGCTACGAAGTTCCTCATTATGCAATTTCTCCAACCTCCCACAAGTTCATCTCTCTTCGGTCCAGATATTCTCCTCAGCACCTTGATCTCAAGTACCCTCAGGCTATGTTCTTACCTTATTTTAGATATCAAGTTCCAGACCCATACAAAACCGCAGGTAAAACTGTAGTTTTGCATATTCTAATTGGTATGTTTTAGACAGCAGACGGGAAGACAAAATGCTGTAAACTGAATGGTGGCAAGTATTTCCTGAATTCAATCTGCTCTTAATTACTTCCTGAAAACGTAAAAATTAGAATATACCAAACTAATAACTTTGCATGTGATACTGTATGGTTACGAAACGTGGTCTCTGAAATTAAGGGAGGATCACAGACTGAGGGTGTTTGAGAACAGGGTGTTCAGGAGAATATTTGGACTGAAGAGAGATGAAGTGACAGGAGGTTGGAGAAAACTGCATAATGAGGAGCTTCATAACTTGTACTTTTCGCCAAGTAAAATCAGAATGACCAAGAGAAGGAGGATGAGATGGGCAGGAAATGCAGCACGAATGAGCGAGAAGAGAAATTCATATACGATATTGCCGTGAAAACCAAAAGGAAATATACCACTAGGAATACCAAGACATAGGTAATAGGATAGGGTGGTATGGACTGGATTGGTCTGGCTCACGATAGGGATCAGTGGAGGGCTTTTGTGAACACGGCAATGAACCTTCGGGTGCCATAAATTACTGAGAACTTTTTGAGATGATACAAAATTGGCGGTTTCTCAAGGAGGATTCATCTCCATGTAGTTCTTCAGTTATAAAATTTTGATGTATTACTGTCGTTCTTTCATATCTGAACTTCTGTAAGATTAAAAATGCTAGCAGTTCATTACATATAATATTTACTACATTTCTGTCAAAACAACACTGCTTCTAGCATGCAGATTTTGCTGTCTAGGACGAGTTTCGGCACGAGTGTACCATCTTCATATCCGGCGTTTAATTATAATTATAATGTCATGAACTTAGTTCGAATTTTCCACGTAAACTGAGTGGATCCAGCGGTATGTTATAATATACTATATTGTAAACTGTAAATTTTATGTCATGACCATAAATGTAAAATATGATATCTGGGGCCGTTTGCCTTGTAGTATGTTTGTTGTATGTAAATTATAATATTAGACATTGTAATATGTCAAAGAGCTAAGTCAGAGTCTCAAAAGTTTGCCATACTGTACATTGCCTAGTATTCTTCGCAATATTGGATTAATATCGGCATTACGTTAACACTAGACGAAGAAGTGAAGCAACCCATAACTCAACACAACCTAAATGCAACAACCAAAGGCAATGTAACGTGACCTAACACAACAAAAGCTATATATATTCATTCATCCATCAGTAATCTGTCAGACGACAGGTCCACAGTCTCTTCCAAGACAGTTCGTCCACTTAATGCGATCTTCTGTTTTTGGAAAGAGACTATCCAGGAAAAGTGATAATGTGGTAGTTTTCCATTTGCTTTCCACATCGCAGTACAACAGCCGTTCAAACCACTCTGGTCACGCCTGTTGCTATAAGAACTTGAACCATCTCGAGCATCATTTGCTCTGTGCTTCAAGTCGCTGCTGATGACGCTGCTTCCGGCACCAGTTTTTGGTGTCTCTCTTCGTCTGATGCCTACCCTTTGACCTGTCCAGCAAGGGAGGCCCTGCCAGTAGCTACGCTACCGCTGGTATAGCTCTCAGGGTCCTTGGCATACTCAAACCCCTTCACCACGATAAGGTGGAGACACCAACGAGGGGCTATATATATATATAAGTATATATATTATTTTTGTATTAATGTTATTGTTATCATTTCATTAAGGCCGTAGAACACAACAATGTTTAGTCTGCACTTATAACAGCTTCCTGTACTATTTGCAATTGTGGAATTTATGTTCGTCAATAATAAGAGAAGGTAATGAAAATCACATATGTGTATATCGGTAATGGTTGTGCTGATCCAACTAACTCTTCTTCTACCCGGCCGCGCCATAGCTCAAGCGGTTAGTCTCTGGCTTCCCACCGCTGCGGCCCGGGTTCAATCCCGGGTCTGATCAAGTGGGATTTGTGGTGAACAAAGTGGCGTTGGGGCAGGTTTTCTCCGAGTACTTCGGTTTCCCCTGCCAATCTTCAGCCCACCAACTGCTCCACAATCACCCTCACCTATCATCTAGGGGCTGGTACAAAAGGCCAGATTTGGCCACAGTACGAGGGACTTAGTCCCAACCCACTAGAAATAAAAACACTTCTCCTAAATCAGTGGAACACCTCGCAATCATACATAATTTACATTTTGCCTAGAACTGTCAGGTATCGTACACAATGCCTAAATTTCATACAACATGAAATGGTTTTATAGGTGTTGAGGACTAGTTAAAATCATATGACGTGACAAACCATTAGTTTTTTATTTCTTGCGTCTAGTTACTTATGACCCTTACGTCATTTTCAACTGACAGTAAACTACAAAGGAATTATTTATCACAACTTAAATACAACTGCTTTAAGAATCATGATACCAATGACAGTTTCAATAATAGTGAAATTTTGTGTTATTTATTGTGACGAAGTTTTGAGAAAGTTCCTAACTTCAGGCGTGGGGAGTTGGGGGGGGGGGTGGAATTTCTTGTCGCTTGGGGTGGCATCTAAGCTTGCGCCGGTCCTGTGTGAAATTCTCGTGTACAATTTGAAGTCTCAGAGAATCATTATCATATTTATTACAAACTTTTCTTTTCCTCTGTACCTTTTAATCTTAACGGTACATCTTCCAGTATTAACCTTCCGCTCACGGAACGTCCATTGCATTTGGGACGTCAACTTACAAACTTAAGAGCGAGGGCACACCAAGGAAACTGGCAACCGCAACGCAACAGCAATTTCCAAGAATTGTTATTAGCCGGAGATGAACTCATTTTAGTGAATGGAGCAGAGCAAATTAAGGAAACGGCAACACAACTCGCTGAAAGACTGAGAAACTCAACTTCCAGACAATGGAGCATGACAGTCTTCTCATAATTGTGTTGCCGCGTGGTTTCATATTGTCAGCTGTTCTATAACGCACTTCAGTGATTTATTTGTTTGTTTATATGACACGAAAGGTTGACGAAACTGCTATTTTGTTTTTGTGTAATTAATTGAGCAAGAACCTGGTATATATAACAAACGCCACCCAGACTGTGCTAGGGAGGACAAAATACATTTGGCTTGGGAAAGAATTATCTCTTGAGACGAAGGAGCCTGGATCCAGGTTAAGTTCTTTCGAAACAATGTAAGTGCGACAGTATAAATTGTTGCAAGAGAAGGGATGCCCTTAATATTTTCTTTCATTAATATTTTACTTATGCATCCCGTTACATTAATATATAATTTACTTCACACATATGCCCATCTTAAATACAACTTATTATATAATCACCCTGCGGGTCACGGTAGCCGAGCAGTCTAAGGCATGTACTGTCGTCGCTCGCTTTGAAACCGGGATCGTGGGTTCGAATCCCACTCAGGGCATGGATGTTTAGTTTGTGTGGGTGCGTTTTTTCTGTGTTTGTGTACAGGTAGAGGCCTTGCGACGAGCTGATCACCTGCCCAAGGAGTCCTGCCGAATGTGTAAGATCGAGAAAAACTGAAGTGAACGGAGAAGTTCATGGAGGTAGGCCTAGGCCCACTGGGGCTGTAGTGCCCATTAAAGATATAATATAATCACCCTTGTTACACATTTTATGGTTCGGCAATATACGGCCATCATCAGGTGTCTTCTGTCTTGCTAAAATTGTTGCACTGTTTGTCAAAATTTCGTATCGCGCAAGAACGTGATATATTCTGATTAAAATAAACTAATATTAATTAAAACAAATTAATTAGTATCCCAGTGTTCTCTTTTTGGTCGTGGTCCCCTCATCTTACGCCTTCTCAACTGATCTCATCTACCTTAATATTTTTACGGGATCAAAATTATTATTTTCCATTGCAGAAGGTAAGTGCACGAAATTAGAAAATACAAATATGCATTACGTCGGGCGAACATACCCATTTAAGATGGTGTTAGCAACTAATCAAACATAAGTTTCCTCAGTGTGTGCCTGCTAATCTAGAAACCAGTTGCCTGCTTCAAATCGGCGATATATGTGGGAAGTTGCGGTTGCGTTGCAGTTGCCAGTTTCCTTGGTGTGCGCCCGGTCTAAGATGCGCAATGAATGATCATAATGCAAGTCATGCAAACTTGCATACAACTTCATGAGGTACATTTTGTTTTGTGATCAACAGCAGTGCATGCTAGTATAAGCCTGTTACCTGTGGGCGGATTATGACAAGCAGTGTCGAGATACGTCGGTAGTTCATTGGTCGGTAGTGATGAGGTGTAGTAAAAGAAAAAAGTGCGCGCGTGGGAATTAACGTTGGTCAATTAATCTTTACAGGTAATTAATTATTCGATCTGTGAGCACATTAATTAAATAACTGGACAGATTCTG